TCACATCTATTTGCTATTGCATGTTCTCGTAAAATGCGCATTACATATGCTTTAATGCGGTTTAAGCATGCGCCGTATGTTATTTCACGTCCGATATACAAGCGAAAGAGCAGATATTACTGTATAAATTCCCTGAGTCCAAAAGGACGTTTTTGACGATTGATTCAGCTGGTCCTCGTGCCCCGAATAATATATAGTTATCCTTACTTGACAGTAGAGTTTGACGGACTCTAAGGTCCACAGCTGTTGGGCCTTCAGAAGCTGTTTCGGAATTTAAAGGAATTTAGCTACCAAGACACAAATCTGTTGAGTTGTATGACGTTGGATGTCGAGAACTGTCAGTAGTAAAAGACCCCCATCTGGAGACCAAAGGGAGCCGCCAATGACGTCACATTGCTCCGAAAGTAATTAGTATGCAAACTTAGGTGTCGGAAGTAATTAGTATGCAAGATATGTGACGCAACTTTGCTGGCCCTAACCCTAACCCTGGGCCAGGTAGCGCGACCAATTAACGCGGTGGGCCAACTGTGACAGGTAGCGCGACCAATTAACGCGGGCAGGCCTGGGCCAACTGCGGCAGGCGATCGATTAGCATTACAATGCAGTAACATCACTATAAATACAGCTAGTGTCCTTTCACCTGCATAGTCTGTATTCAACGCTCTTTTTCAGTCGAGATGGAGCAAGCAAAGTGGGAAGAGGTTGTTTCTTCGTGGATGAGTGGTAAATCGTTTGAATTGAGAACAGAATGTGAGAATGGGGTTGGTTTACCTATTGAAAAGGCGAAATGGCAAATTACAGATTTGGAAAACATTTTGATTGAAAAGGGTTTGGTACCGAAATTTGTTCGTGGGGACGATGCCCTGTATGATATATTGTTGCGTCAAATGCAATCACAATTGATTCTGAGTGTTGGTGTTCCAAAACGAGTGCAAGGCCCTACCTTTACATATTTGTCGAACTGTAAGCAGATGCTTGTGGGTGAGATATTTGCAGATATGACAAAAAGGAAGGAAAAATTCGAGAAGAAAACAGGTGTTAGCTTGGACAACTTTTACAGATTGGCTGCTAGCGAAGTCGAGAATGGGAAGAAAAGAAAAAGAATGTCTGAGTCGAATGGAAGCAACAAGGCCCTCGGGTGGCCAACACTGGCATCGTGCTCTTCAGTAATCCACTACAATACCAGTACATGATTGAAGAAACAGGAGAGACATTTAATAGTTCTAAATCTAACACTAGGGAGGCCTATGATGAATTTCGTAAATTTGGTTTAATTTAACAAGTGAACTTGATAAAATAGACCTCTTGTAATAATAATACGTTGCTAGTTAATTAATGTAAATTTGCATATATTTACTGAAATAAATACTGTGTGTCTCATTTGCTGTTCAATTGTTGTGGTGAGGGTATCATGGATAAACGATGAAACGGAATGAAATTGATATTGATAAGCAAAGCGAGTTACATGTATTCTGTGAAGTTACATGTTACATGTATTCTGTGTACCAGTTAGAAGTTTTGAGGCAGATCATAAGAAAGCTTATCAAGAACTCATGGAGAAAAAACTTATAGAACAGTTTAACAAATAGTTTTAGTTGTAATATACTATCATCTGTTATTTGTATCAATAAACATGTTTTAAGCTTTGCAAATTTGTGTTGTTTATGCGTTGCTAAGTCATTAGGAGGCGTGTAGGTAATTAGGGGGATTAAGGCAATACGAATTTGCATAACTAAGTGTATCTCGATGGATAGATAGGGATTATTTTTAACGCAGGTGTATACCTTAAAATCAGGAGCGTGGCTTTGCGGGTGCATGCATATATTAACGTACAACATATTTGTACACTAATCAGGCGGGCGGATCGCGCGGGCGGAAAGAGCGGGCTTTGCCGGCAAAAATTTACCCAATATTTTAGTTTTTAAATTTATTTCTTCAAAACGTTTTACAAAATTTAGTACGGTCTACTTCTAAGAGCGTAACGTCTAGGTGTTTTTGTTATTTTTAAAGAGTTCTCATATTCTTGTCTATCTTCTGGGGATAACTTTGCAACGTCTTCATCCTTCATTGGAATATATTTCGGCCTCTCGCGAAGTAATCTTTGTTCGTAACCTTCTCTTTGTTTAGGGGTCATCATTGCCAAATCTTGGGGCCTCCAATCTGTAGAGTCTACCCAATTGTGGAAAAAGTTGTGCTTGAGTTTTGGCCGTTCCTCTTCTGTTGGTGGTGGTGTAAGGAAGTTAGGTTTAGGGGTAGCAGGCACTGGTGGTGCTATCTCAACAAATTCATTGGGTTGTGGTATTTCTGCAGGCACTAGTGGAGTTGTCTGAACAGGAGCTTGAGTCGGAACATCCATCTTATTTTTGAATGTCAAAAACCGGTTTAGTTGATCAGAGTATAATTTGCTTTTTTCCACTGCGCTAAGCTGTGGTGCATCCATGATTTCTTTCATTCTCTGTTCGGCATCATACATTGCGTTTGCAAGTGGTGGTTGACGATACGACTGTTTGTGTAAAAACTTTGCAATCTCGCCGGGAAGTATGTTTGTCTTGAGTCGATCTTGGTCACTTGTTGTCGGCTTTAAATCCAACATCAAATATCCGTGAGGCCGGCTCGTAGCATCTTCATAACTCCTCATAAACTCTTGTACTTTGCGGGGATTTATTTGCCTTGCAAGTATAGAAATTTGTTGTTTATCTCTTGGTGACTTGAACAATACGATATAATGCGCGTTTAGACTAATATTTCTCATTTCTTTGCCCTGATGAAATAAGTTTTGGACAATATAGATGACAGACAAATTTCGATGATGACTTCCTTTCGTAAAAAGATCAGAAATACGTTTATCTTTGCCAGATTGAGCCATAAGGTCGTCCAATACGATCAAATTCCGTTGCGATACGTCCAAGTAATCCGCATTGTCGATGTCTTCGGGGATGCCTTCATTAAACTCGATTCCAGGCATTATCCTCATCATATCAAAATAGGACGGTTGCCATTGACCATAACACCAAATGATACGTTGAGGAGGTGGGCTTATAGTCGTTTGAGCATTCTCCAAGAGAGATTTTACCCATACGGTTTTGCCGCTTTGGGTACATCCTGCAACGATGCATGTAAAGGGATGCTGCATGACTGTAACCCCATTCACCGTGAGAGTTTGCTGCCCAAGATTACGAGTTCCATATGCATGGACAACCTTCTTGTGGCGAAGGAGATTACTCGCATTTGCAAACGTTTTGCCGCAGATGTCGCATTCATAAGACATGTTTACTTCTCAAGAGTCAGTGTAAAATGATTTAAAGCAAGAGTGAAGAGGTGTATTTATCCCGTTGGTTATTGTCGCGTCTATGAAGACTATTGTAAAGACTATGAAAGACTATAGTCCTGATTATGAAAGACTATAGTCCTGACTATGAAAGACTATAGTCCTAACTATGAAAGACTATAGTCCTGACTATGAAAGACTATAGTCCTGACTATGAAAGACTATAGTCCTGACTATGAAAGACTATAGTCCCGACTATGAAAGACTATAGTCCTAACTATGAAAGACTATAGTCCTAACTATGAAAGACTATAGTCCTGACTATGAAAGACTATAGTCCTAACTATGAAAGACTATAGTCCTAACTATGAAAGACTATAGTCCTAACTATGAAAGACTATAGTCCTGACTATAAAAGACTATAGTCCTAACTATGAAAGACTATAGTCCTGACTATGAAAGACTAGTCCTGACTATGAAAGACTATAGTCATGACTACGAAGACTATAGTAAAGACTATGAAAGACTATAGTAAAGACTATGAAGACTATTGTCTAGACCTAATCTATAGAGGGCGAGCCGATCCTTATATATGTGTTATTTCCAACTAAATCTTCATTCCGTTGCTGACCGCCGAACAGAGATGACTAGCAGTTATACGAAACACAGACCATTTGTAGAACTCTTATGTACTTCTCATCCAACTCAACAGCAAGCTCTTCTTAATTCTACATCAGCTGAGCAAATTCGATGCTTGTGTCATTGTATAGAAAATTTCACATACTCTAAAGAAACAAAGGACAAACTCAGACCTTTCGAACAAGATCTAGCTGATTTAGCAGACAGAGATAGAAATTTTAAGACGAAAAAAGAAATTCTTGTTCAGCGGGGAAGCGGCTTTCTGGGATTGGTACTTGGACCACTTTTAGAAGGCCTTGCAGAATTAATATAAAATAAAAAGTATGAAGGACATCTCCTCATTCCAATCATGGATAGCGACAAACGATCATCTCCTGAACAGTGGAGACTTGAAGACATTCTCAAATATCTTGACGTTGATGATGAACACGAAGCCGAAGAAATCCTTCATTCTATTTTAACCTCTACGGGGATTTTGACTTGGAATGGAAAAGGAGAAATCGTTTACAGAGGACATAATATACGAGGCACTGACATTGTAGACCTTCTGAAATATTGCGTGACGCCTTATCATCCAGATATTCCCGAACCAACTGGATTGAGCATTTTTATAAAAGGTCTTGCAGAATTGGAAATTGATAAAAGCCTAATCTTAAATGGACATGTCCTTTCTGTGTTAGCCCACAAGTGGTCCCGTCAGTATGCACAATCTGATGCTGACGCAACTTGTAACAGTTGTAACAAAGATATATACATCTCCCATTTGAGTACGTGCCCCGTATGCACATGGACAGATTTTTATCCGAATTGTAAAAACTGTCGCTGTATGATCTGTGATTTTCAAGTGTCCAAAGGAGATTTTACACATGTAATCACCAGCTGCCCACATTGTCGCCGAGGTGAAATTATAGATATCAGAACGGATGAAAGGCAGTCCTTTAATTAAATTAACCATAAAATAGGCGACCAAAGTGATATTTGATTAGTTGACTGCGTGAAGTTGAACTGAACACATCAACATGCCGAGAGGTGCACTTGTAGTAGACGAAAAACTACTGAGAGACCATTTCTTGAGACAGCAGCGTGGCGGAAACATCGCTGGGTATCGTGGTGCACGTTTTCAAAGAGGATACGGGATCGGAAGTATTTTCAAGAGCCTTGCGAGATATGCTATCCCTCTGTTCAAACAAGGCGCTAAAGTTGTTGGCAAAAG